TAGATAGATAGATAGATAGATAGATAGATAGATAGATAGATAGATAGATAGATAGATAGATAGATAGATAGATAGATAGATAGATAGATAGATAGATAGATAGATAGATAGATAGATAGATAGATAGATAGATAGATAGATAGATAGATAGATAGATAGATAGATAGATAGATAGATAGATAGATAGATAGATAGATAGATAGATAGATAGATAGATAGATAGATAGATAGATAGATAGATAGATAGATAGATAGATAGATAGATAGATAGATAGATAGATAGATAGATAGATAGATAGATAGATAGATAGATAGATAGATAGATAGATAGATAGATAGATAGATAGATAGATAGATAGATAGATAGATAGATAGATAGATAGATAGATAGATAGATAGATAGATAGATAGATAGATAGATAGATAGATAGATAGATAGATAGATAGATAGATAGATAGATAGATAGATTAGATAGATAGATAGATAGATAGATAGATAGATTAGATAGATAGATTAGATTAATAGATTTCATCTTGCTAGTAACACTCGCAATCGCCATGGGCTGTGAGTCCCATTCTTCTCATTGCACAATAAAACAATATCGTTTAAAAAGACAGAAAGATACTAATTATGTGTGTAAACATATATATATATATATATATATATATATATATATATATATATATATATATATATATATATATATATATATATATATATATATATCAGTAATATTTCCATAACCACTTAGTATATGAGCTTATGTGATATTTCACCGAATGTTCCCACAGCTGCTGTTTCAGCTTGTCTTGATGTTTGCCTTTATTTTCAGAGAACGTCTGGAAAAGATTTCAGATATAGTCAGAAATGTGAGGGAATCCATGTTGGTAAGAAAACGCGTGAAGACAACTGTGAAATACATTGTCGTTGTTTCTGACATGAATGGTACAGGTATTTAGGGGCATTTGCGAGAGCAGGAAGCCATGACCATATTGCATGAAGAAGGGGCCTCCAGAAGGGGATATGGGTAAAGGAGAAGTTGATTACTGATAGGTTTAGACTCTAGCGTTGAAGAGGCACAAATGCGATGGCAGCAATGGTATTTCAGTCTGATGTTCTAACTGTGAATGAGTTTTCTCAAGCTATCAGGTCTTGCTTGTCGCGCTCGTCATGGACTGAGAAAACGAGGACGACTAAAGGAAAACATCAGACGAACCTTGTCGAGAAGACTTGAGGGGTGGGGTGAGATGGGGTTACTAGACCATATGCCAGCCATATCTGAAGGACTGCACGCGATATACCGGGATATGACGCAAAAGCGGATGATAGTAGTGATGATGACATTGATGATATTGATCATATGTGAGTGTATATGTGTTATGTGTTTGGTGTGTGTGAGTGTGTGTGTTTGTGTGTGCGAGTGTGCGTGTGAAAAAGTTAGCTGCATTTGATTTACTCACGTCGTATAACACTGGTTGGACATATTGCTTGTATGTAGGTGCTATCCTGGAACCCCCACCCTAGGGGAAAAAATGAAACCCGTCGTACAGTTGAAGTTTCTATAATATTATCTGTCTTTTTATTTTAAATCTAAGCCTGCTTTGTGCTTTATGTCCATCTTCTGTTTTGGTATATACCTTGTACAGTATAGCGTATATTCTCTATGAGTGTGCAAACCATTTCTTCTTGTTTCGTTTGCCCGAAATAAGTTTATATATATCAGCTAATGTGTCTGTCGTATAAATTTCACTGTGGTTGTTAGTTTATTCAGTGGTCCATAGAGTTTATGTTCCACTTTTGTTCTGTCTGACCACAAGTTTGCCTTAATTTGTCAAATTCTGTGTAGTCCTGAAGTAAATGTTCTGCAGTCTGGGCCACCCTTCTACAGGTGAATATGGCTGTTACGCTTATCTTAAATTTTTGTGTACCTGTGGTTGCATAATCGGTTATGTCATGTTCTGAAGCGAAGGGTAATGACTTATTCTGATCTGCCCCATACCAGAATAGTCGTCTTGTGCTGGGACTGATGGTTTCTTGATTGATTTAATGATCTTTTAGTTTTGCTGGTATCTTAACCATTTGATGTGCAGTCTTCGTGTGTAATTTAAAATTAGTTTTGTGCCGACTATTTCTCTCATGACGCATTCCTGATTGTATCTCTTCTGGTAACTCCTGTAGCTCTTCTCTGGCGTCTCATTTCCGTGGTTACCAATTTCCTTTTCTAGTTTGCTGTTGATGGCCACGTCTGCTCTCACTTGCGGTTGGATTTTATTTTCAAAACTGAGTGGCTACCGTGCCAACCCAGCCTGAAATTAGAACCAGCTAATTTCTTGGGAAGTAAAGGCAATCAGTATCTTGTTAGTCACATCACTCATAGGACCGAGTAATTTATATTAAAATGGGTCAAGTATCATATGCTCAGTACACCTATGACCAAACGGTTAAGAACACTGGGCTCTCCGGTGGGACACCCAAGTTCGAATCCACGGTAGGGTCATAGATTTTTTTTCTGCCGGGGGCAAAAATAATATCCTAATCTCCACAGCCCGTGACGATAGCAGTAACCATTCGGCCCTGAAGTCTTAGGCTCAAATCCCTCTCCCCTACCCAACTCCCGTTTATGCCAACGCCCCATTTCCCCACCCAACCTGCCTACAGCGCACAAAACAGTGGTAAAGACAAGCAGTACCTGACAGTTGTGTGTCTGACTGAGAATCTGTTGTGTGTGCAGGCGATTCTGGTGGCCATGCAGCAGCTCTCCATCAATCTACAGAAGGAGAGCAACAAAGCCAGTGCGGAGTTCTTGCTGGCAGAGGCAGCTGAGCATAAGGTTGAGGCGTCTGAAGTAGGTGGTTCTTTCTCTGTTGTTGCTGTTCATTTTCTTCTTCTTGTTCATATTCTTCTTCTTCTTCTTCTTCTTCTTCTTCTTCTTCTTCTTCTTCTTCTTCTTCTTCTTCTTCTTCTTCTTCTTCTTCTTCTTCTTCTTCTTCTTCTTCTTCTTCTTCTTCTTCTTCTTCTTCTTCTTCTTCTTCTTCTTCTTCTTCTTCTCTTCTTCTTCTTCTTCTTCTTCTTCTTCTTCTTCTTCTTCTTCTTCTTCTTCTTTCTTCTTCTTCTTCTCTTCTTCTTCTTCTTCATTCTTCATTCTTCCTCCTTCTTTTTCTTCTTCTTCTTCTTCTTCTTCTTCTTCTTCTTCTTCTTCTTCTTCTTCTTCTTCTTCTTCTTCTTCTTCTTCTTCTTCTTCTTCTTCTTCTTCTTCTTCTTCTTCTTCTTCTTCTTCTTCTTCTTCTTCTTCTTCTTCTTCTTCTTCTTTCTTCTTCTTCTTTCTTCTTCTTCTTCTTCTTTCTTCTTCTTCTTCTTCTTTTCTTCTTCTTCTTCTTCTTCTTCTTCTTCTTCTTCTTCTTCTTCTTCTTCTTCTTCTTCTTCTTCTTCTTCTTCTTCTTCTTCTTCTTCTTCTTCTTCTTCTTCTTCTTCTTCTTCTTCTTCTTCTTTTTCTTCTTCTTCGTTTTCTTTTTCTTCTTCTTCTTTTTCTTCTTCTCCGTTTTTTTCTTCTTCGTCTTCTTCTTCTTCTTCTTCTTCTTCTTCTTCTTCTTCTTCTTCTTCTTCTTCTTCTTCTTCTTCTTCTTCTTCTTCTTCTTCTTCTTCTTCTTCTTCTTCTTCTTCTTCTTCTTCTTCTTCTTCTTCTTCTTCTTCTTCTTTTTCTTTTTCTTTTTTCTTCTTCTTCTTCTTTCTTCTTCTTCTTCGTCGTCTTCTTCTTCTTCTTCACCTTTTTCTTGTTCTTCTCCTTCTTCAACTTCTTCTTCTTCTTCTTCTGCTTCTTCTTCTTCTTCTTCTTCTTCTTCTTCTTCTTCTTCTTCTTCTTCTTCTTCTTCTTCTTCTTCTTCTTCTTCTTCTTCTTCTTCTTCTTCTTCTTCTTCTTCCTATCTTCTTCATCTTCTTCCTATTATTGTTATTATCTTCTTCTTCTTGTTCTTCTTTTCTTCTGCCTTTTTTTTTTTCTCTATTCTTCTTCTTCTTCTTGTTCTTGTTTTGTTGTGCTGCTTCTGTAATGTTTAGGCTGTGTTAATATTAGTAGTAGTATTTCTACTGGTGGTAATAGCAACAGCAGCAGCAGTGTTAGTTGTACTAACAGTTGAGGTAGCTGTTGTTGAGGAATGTTGCAAGCATATGTTGTACTGTTATTAAGTCATGTGTACTTATGTACAGGAGTTCTGGGATCACTGTGAGAAGCTCTGGGCTGACCAGGGTGTCCAGGCCTGTTTTATGAGATCCCACGAGTACCAACTGTTCGACTGCGCCAAATAGTGAGTTCCGTGTATTGTGTCATGTTTTCCTTGGTCTTCTTGTGCCGCAAATGTGCAGTTAACGTTTGTTAATATTTTATCGGGAAGTTGACTTTTTGTTATGTTGAATGAAGAGTGTTTTATGAAGTTTTATATTACTGTTGCTGGTTGGGATAGTATTTGGGTCTGTCTACGTTGATCGTATCAACACTGCTAGAGTGCTTGTCACGGTGCTTGATGGTTAGAAATGATTTGCTATTTTATATGTCTCACATAACCTGGTTACATTTATTCAGGGATGCTGGTAAAATGTGACGATGCCCCCCTCCCCCGCAAACAAGGCTAGTTGGAGCACTTAGGGATCTGTCCGGAGTGCTGCGATGATAGTCCCCACCAATCATTAGTCCTGACATTTTTTAAAGGATCTAAGTCTGAATAGGAGACCCGCAAGGCAGGTCATAGATATATGGAGGGCTCAGTGGTTTTGAGACCTGGCGTCCGCCTAGAGTGCTGGAGATCCCGGGTTCAGGCCCCAGTGAAGGCTGGCGTTTTTCACGTGGACTTCAAATAATTTCGCATGGTCTCTGGTTATAAGGATCGGACGCCAGTGTGTATTGTTGCGCACAAAACAAAAAGCCTTCGCAGCTGGAAATCGAACAGAGTATCCTAGCGGCGGCGCCTGGGCAAAATATGGAGTTAAAAATCGGGCTTAAGTATTTCATTAGCCTCGCCGGTGCTGCGGAGTTTGTGCACTGCGCTGAAATTTTTGAACTCAGGCTTGAGTTAGAAGTAGAAGAGAGCACTTATGGGTTACTACCCTTGTGTCGTGATGTTGATCCTTGGTATAAACCAAACCTAGATACCCAGTTCAACCCTCAGAGAATTGACAATGGGGTCAGCCGCGACAGCCAAGTGTAACCTACAGGCTTGCGTGGGTCAGGATTAGCTTGGTCGTAACATAGTTTTCTAACGGTCACCACCAGAGGTTAAAGGTTAACACATTCTATTTCCAGAAATCGAATTTCTTTGATCATAGAGTTCACCGTCTGTTGACCTTCAGTGGGGTTTAAAATAGAAATGCCAATTATCGACCTCACTGTACTCAAATTAACGTAACAAGTGGCCATGAAGGTCGACAGACGAAAAAGCCGGCGTTTTGTTCTGTCTTTATCGAGGGACAATATACTTAACTCTTACAGTACGTTTACAAACTTGTACCATAGTATTTTGATAATTTCTCAGTAATTACTTATTCTAGGAACATGATTTTATTTATTATTATTGTTTTTTTTTTTTTTTTTAGGGCGTATGGAGGGGGAAGGGGGTGTTTAAGATGCTCTTTTGTCATCCCGACGTTGATGTTTTATACATAAATATTCTTTAGTCTGCCCAGTTGTATTGAAACAGGCGTTTTCTTTATTTTCATTGCCTGTATGATTTTAGTTAGCGCGGCGTCCGTGGCTTAGGCGTTGCGAGTCCGACAAGTAACCCAGCGTACCGCGATCGAAACCCACTGCTGGCTGCGTGGATTTTTATCATGGTACGGAGCGTCGCAGGTCAACCCAGCCTAAAATGGGTACCAGGATGGGCTGTCCTGGGAAAGTAAAGACACCCGGTGTAATGCTGACCACATTACCCACCGAAGGCTGATGGTCTGTAAAAATATGGGCGCTCTTCTTATATGCCCGATACGCATAAAGACGTGGAAAGGGATCTTTACTTTTACTTAACCCAACTTTAACAGTACCAGTTTAAAAAGGTAAACGGTAAAGTCGGGAGATGTGAACCAGCGTCATGGCACACGTTATAAACAAATAAGTGCTCTACCACCAGTACGGACAGCTGATAATAAACTGTCCGCATGTGTCGGCGTCCGCACATAACTCCGTAGCTACAGCGACGTTCCACCATTCACCCCAGAGTACCAACGTGAGTTACCCTAACCCTAACCATATAGCTACGCTTTTACAACTTGTGACAAAACATGGAAATGATCCGACACACTCGGCACAGCAGTCGTGGACCTATTCAGAGCATAAACACAAGAAACGCTTTTTCCTTTGTAAGTTCCATTGGCTACATTTGAACTTTGTGCTGTATAGATTGAAAGGCAATCCAGCAAGGATCATCATATATTTATAAACCTGGAATAAGCACAAAAATGCATTTTAGTCACCTACTATGCAGGCATAAAATGTGATATAACGTTGAGAACGAAATTAATATTAACATACTCATTTTCTTCTTGGCGTTCACCGGCTTCAAATTCCGGCGGGTATTTCTGGTTGTTCACCCACTTCTCGACTCCAGTCCTGTTCAAACAAACCGAACAGCGCATAAATGCATTTGAATATAAATGTTACAGACAGGTTCTAAGAATATCTTGAGTAAAGAAAAGAACAAATGCATCCATACTTCAAGAGCTGAATATTGAAGAGGGTTGGCTAGTAAAGACAATAAAACAAAGAAAATTGAAATATTTTGGTCACTTGAAACGTCATGGAAGTCTAGAGAGAACAATAATGGAGGGGTATATGCCTGGGAAGAGAGGAAGAGGAAGGCCAAGGAGAAGATGGGTGCAGGATGTGGCAGATGATCTCCAGATGGGTGTATCAGACGCAGGACATCTTGCTCAGGATAGGAAGGTTTTCCGGAGGGTTGTTATGGCAGCGAGGTTCCGCGAGGGACATGCTACTGAATGAATGAATGAATTATGCAGGCATAAAATGTGATATAACGTTGAGAACGAAATTAATATTAATATACTCATTTTCTTCTTGGCGTTCACCGGCTTAAAATTCCGGCGGGTATTTCTGGTTGTTCATCCACTTCTCGACTTCCAGTCCTGTTCCAGAACCTGAGTGTGGCGTGTAAACCCCTTTCACAGGTCTGAATCATTTGCATGCAGACTGTTGGTCCCTGCCCCTGAAGCTAATGTACTCCGACTTTGAATGAATCGCCCAATTAGTCGACTCTTACGACATGTTTTTGGACAGGCAGTGGGTCTATTCTTGTTTTCCCCAACAATGGGGCCTTAGAACCCACACGGGGAATATTGATTTAAAATTTCATCCATTTCTTTTCCACCACATCTGAGATATATTATTTCGAATATCGGCATGAATTGTAACCGCACTATAGCAGACATGTTAGTAGTAACTTGTGAAAGGGTTTCACAGTCAAGTCCTTGACGAACCATTAATGTTTCTATAGCGGGCAGTTTGTGAATATCTTGGCTTTCAGACAGTGATACGAGAGTCGCACTGTGGAAGAGCTTAGAGCCCGACCACGTATAATTTTAACGTAGAGAGCAGTGGATGGGCTGCGGTCGCCCTGTAATGTAGAGCCGCGCTGTACAAACTAAAGAAATAATAAAATTCACTTTGAAAAAGGAAGAAATCAATGTCTGGTTACATGCATCATGAATAATTCGTTTAACCATATTATCTTTGTGCCGCTCGGGCGTTCAACGCAAGGAGAGTGCAGACAAGATGAAACTGTGAAGGCAGTTCAGCCCCCTAGGGTTTAGATACATTGTACAGGCTGGCGGTATAGCAGTACAGCTGGAAACAGCCAGCATTTTGCAGAAGGCACATGACGCCTGATAATCAACACAGAACGTTCGTGCTCAGCCGTTTTACATATATGGAGGAGATCAGAGCAGTTCTGGATCATTCCAGAATTATGTGATGATAGCCCTCACTAATCACTGATGTGTGATTGGATGAATAAATGAGTGAACGAGCAAACAAATGAACTGACACCAGTGCACTCGGCGTATTCCCACACATGCACTGGTCCTTAGTCAGCAGCCAACGAATAACTCACACACTGATAGTGCCAGTACAGCCTGATTAAAAGCCTGCTTTTTCCCCGTGGAATGAAAATTTATCCGGACCATCAGCTCACTGCCTGTGCAATCTGTCTCTATATATGTGGATAATGTCTCTGTTCCGTTACACTGTTTACGTGATCCTAGAGAGCTTTTAACACATCCGCTACAAGATAAATTACATCTCCACCCAGATGGGCGGCATCAGCCGATGTGTCGGTCTGCTAATTACAGTCCTCACCTGAGTTTTCATTCCACGGGGAAAAAGCAGGCTTTTAATCAGACTGTACTGGCACTATCAGTGTGTGAGTTCTTCGTTGGCTGCTGACTAAGGACCAGTGCATGTGTGGGAATAAGCCGAGTGCAATGGTGTCAGTTCATTTGACTTCTATGAAATATAAACAGTACAGAGCCACTGACAGCATGGAAAGCAGCGGTAATATGGTGGATAGACCCTCTCCTACCGACATGAAGGTCATAATTTCAAATTCGCAGAGAGAAAGGGGGTGGGGAGGGGGGATGGAGTGGAATTGTGAAAATATAGCGATTCAGATCTTACACATACACACACACACACACACACACACACATATATATATATATATATATATATATATATATATATATATATATATATATATATATATATATATATATATATTCCTGTGGACCCAGCTGAAATTCTTCTTAGCTATACTATTATCATATATTGTTTCCTCATTATCATCATGAATGTTAACTAATGCCAACAATTAAATTAACCATTTTCCTTGCTGATCATCGATACGAAATGAAACATTAAACACTTTCACATGTTCTTTTTCGATTCTTCTTTTTTTCAGTTTTCTGGATAAAATCAGCCAGTTGAGAGATCCGAGCTATGCCCCTCCAGACCAGGTATGTACCTCGAGCGCTAACTCACGTTGTCTATCGTTATACTGTCAATCGCACCTCGGAAGTCTAACATAGTGAACTTTGTCTGGAATATGTTTTTGTGAGTCCTCGTGATTTAACTCTTTGAGTCCGAGAGAGTTTAGCATCCCAGGCCCAAGGGGTAGTAAAGAGAGACATAAAATAGGCGCATCTTGCGTTTACTGGGCTTCTAGGTAGAAACCTATGAACGTATGATGCGCTCCTTGGGACTCAAAGAGTTAAATACCGTGTTTCCCCGAAAATACGACCGAGTCTTATATTAATTTTGCTTCAGAAAAGGCACTAAAGTTGACTTTGAAGGGGAATGTCTAATTTGTGTTTAATTCCCCCCCCCTTCCCCTTCCCCTACCATCCCCTCTACCCCCCCCCCCCCAACCTACACCCCCCCCCCCCCCGATTCATCAGTATACATTTTTTTTTTTTATGGTTACTACCCTTGTGTGATGATGTTGATACGTTGTTTAAAACTAAACCTAAACCTCCCTCATTTACTCAGATATAGTTTTGTCAGTTTCTTCAAGAACATCATCATCTTTTTCCAAATCCAAATTTTGAGCATGATTTACGAACCACATCCCTTTATTATCAAGACGGCGCCAGTGATGTCTGTACTGGCTTCTGTACTGGCTTCTGTACTGGCGACTGTACTGGCGTCTGTACTGGCGAATGTACGGGCGTCTATACTGGCGTCTATACTGGCGTCTATACTGGCGTCTGTACTGGCGTCTATACCAGCGACTATACTGGCGACTGTACTGGCGTCTGTACTGGCGACTGTACTGGCGTCTGTACTGGCGTCTATACTGGCGACTGTACTGGCGTCAGTACTGGCGTCTCTACTGGCGTCTATACTGGCGACTATACTGGCGTCTAAACTGGCGTCTATACTAGCGACTGTACTGGCGTCTGTACTGGCGTCTATACTGGCGACTGTACTGGCGTCTGTACTGGCGTCTATACTGGCGACTTTACTGGCGACTTTACTGGCGTCTATACTGGCGTCTATACTGGCGACTGTACTGGCGACTGTACTGGCGTCTGTACTGGCGTCTGTACTGGCGACTGTATTGGCGTCTATACTGGCGTCTATACTGGCGTCTATACTGGCGTCTATACTGGCGACTGTACTGGCGTCGGTACTGGCGTCTATACTGGCGTCTATACTGGCGACTGTACTGGCGTCTGTACTGGCGTCTATACTGGCGACTGTACTGGCGTCGGTACTGGCGTCTATACTGGCGTCTATACTGGCGTCTAAACTGGCGTCTGTACTGGCGTCTATACTGGCGACTGTACTGGTGTCTGTACTGGCGTCTATACTGGCGACTGTACTGGCGTCTATACTGGCGACTGTACTGGCGTCTGTACTGGCGTCTATACTGGCGTCTGTACTGGCGTCTGTACTGGCGACTGTATTGGCGTCTATACTGGCGTCTATACTGGCGTCTATACTGGCGACTGTACTGGCGTCTATACTGGCGTCTGTACTGGCGTCTATACTAGCGACTATACTGGCGACTGTACTGGCGTCTGTACTGGCGACTGCACTGGCGTCTGTACTGGCGTCTATACTGGCGACTGTACTGGCGTCAGTACTGGCGTCTATCCTGGCGTCTATACTGGCGACTGTACTGGCGTCTGTACTGGCGTCTATACTGGCGACTGTACTGGCGTCGGTACTGGCGTCTATACTGGCGTCTATACTGGCGACTATACTGGCGTCTAAACTGGCGTCTGTACTGGCGTCTATACTGGCGACTGTACTGGTGTCTGTACTGGCGTCTATACTGGCGACTGTACTGGCGTCTATACTGGCGACTGTACTGGCGTCTGTACTGGCGTCTATTCTGGCGACTGTACTGGCGTCTGTACTGGCGTCTGTACTGGCGTCTGTACTGGAGACGGTACTGGCGTCTATACTGGCGACTGTATTGGCGTCTATACTGGCGTCTATACTGGCGACTGTACTGGCGTCTGTACTGGCGACTGTACTGGCGACTGTACTGGCGACTGTACTGGCGTCTGTATTGGCGTCTGGCCATTCAGCTGCAAGTCCCTGATTCTAGCCAACAATCGTAATTAGGGCTTTTTTGCGTTAAGGTTTGTCTTCTTTCGTCTTCTTCTGCCTTTCTATCCCCCAATGGAGCATTGGCCCTCAACCAACTCACAAGTCGTTCTATCCTTCGCCATTACATGGAGCTCTCCCCATGTCGTCCCCATCTTTATAACTTCATTCTCCAGCTCTCTTCTCTGTGTGTTTTTGGCCTTCCTTTATTCATATGCCCCTGTGGGTTCCAATGCAAAGACATCATGTTATGCTGTTCTCATGTTTTCTCAGTATGTGTACTATCCAACGCCAGCGTCTTTTCCTCACCTCTTGGTCCACTGGAGCCTGTTAAGCTCCCAAAGTTCTACATTAGTTATTCTATCATAGTTAAGGTATGTATTAAAAGCATTTTAAAGTTAATACTATCTGACTTATTTTTTTTATTTTTTTTTTGGGTGGGGTTGGGGGGCGGGGGGGGGGGGGGGGGGGGGGTGGGGGTCCTAGTTTCCTGGAGACAGTTTAGCAGTACTGGCAGAAAACTTTGATGACATGTTTGATATTCTGCTATCATTGCTCGACAGGACATCCTCCGCTGTAGGGCCATCACTACATCCATACAGCACATCGAGTTTGATGTTCCCGACGCTGGCCAGCAGGTTAGATTCAGGTAAGTGTCTGCTGCTGGGAGGGGGAGGGGGGGGGGGTAGGCAACACATATACACAAGCGGGTGGAGGGTACGCTCAACTCCTTGCACATTTTTAATTCTTTTTTTTTTTAATTCGCCTTATCTCGGGGATTCCGAGATTTCTTGGGGAGTTCCTGTGAAAGTCTTGTAGTATAGGGGTGTTTGTGTTTCAAATGAACATTGACTAACACAAACCCTAACCCCCCACCTCCATATTTTTGAACTAACCCAGGAATTTCACACGAGATGTGATGAACTAGCAGAATCGTACACACATTTTCTAGCGGGGTCTTAAAGGTGCCTTAGCTTTGTTTAAGTGTGTAGGAATAATAATCATAAACTAGGAAAGAAAAACATTCATTACCGCTGCATTTAACACCTTTTTTAAGGGCCATGTAGAAAGGGGGCGGGGGGGGGGGGAGTCTATATCGAGCCTGAGTATTCAGGACAGCGTGGCCGATGTTGTCGCCACACACTCTGCAGGCTACAATGTGTATTTTTGCCCCGACCGAAAACGTCGAACTTATGTCTACCCGAGTCAGCCGTTGTAACTACTGGGCCAGCCTCTGTTCCATAATAATTACAGTAATGATAATAAGTAAAGGTAAAGGTCCCATTTCCACACCTTTAGGCGTAAAGGGCATATAGGGCTAGACCTTTTTTTATAGACCAATCAGCACAAAATTGATGACGTGGACAGAATCACGGCGGCCGGCTTTACTTCCCGGGACTGCAGCTGGTGCCTTCTCAAGGCTGGATATACCTGGGAGTCAAGGTCGTTTTTTTTACCTTGGATCTGCCAGGGTGTGAACCCACGGCCTTCTGCTTCACATGCAAGCGTCTAGCCGCTATGCCACGGCAGCTCCTAATAATCGTAATAATAATTAATATTAACCTTTGTGTTCACCGGTTGTAAACTCGGGCGGGAAGTTCTTGCTGTTCATCCACCTCTAGACTCTAGATTTGTTACGGAACCTGAGTTTTAGATGCACATTCGCTTTACAGATCTGACTTGTTTGTAGGAAGACTGTTGGTTCCTTGCCTCTCAGGCAGATGTTGGTTCCTGGCCTCTCAGGCAGATGTTGGTTCCTGGCCTCTCAGGCAGATGTTGGTTCCTGGCCTCTCAGGCAGATGTTGGTTCCTGGCCTCTCAGGCAGATGTTGGTTCCTGGCCTCTCAGGCAGATGTTGGTTCCTGGCCTCTCAGGCAGATGTTGGTTCCTGGCCTCTCAGGCAGATGTTGGTTCCTGGCCTCTCAGGCAGATGTTGGTTCCTTGCCTCTCAGGCAGATGTTGGGTCCTGGCCTCTCAGGAAGATGTTGGTTCCTGGCCTCTCAGGCAGATGTTGGTTCCTTGCCTCTCAGGCAGATGTTGGTTCCTGGCCTCTCAGGCAGATGTTGGTTCCTTGCCTCTCAGGCAGATGTTGGTTCCTTGCCTCTCAGGCAGATGTTGGTTCCTGGCCTCTCAGGCAGATGTTGGTTCCTGGCCTCTCAGGCAAACTGTTGGTTCCTGGCCTCTTAGGCAGATGTTGGTTCCTTGCCTCTCAGGCAGATGTTGGTTCCTGGCCTCTCAGGCAGATGTCGGTTATTGGCCTCTCAGGCAGATGTTGGTTCCTGGCCTCTCAGGCAGACTGTTGGTTCCTGGCCTCTCAGGCAGATGCACTCCGACTTTGAAGGACCCGCACCCAAATTAGTTTACACTTACGACATGCTTGTTGGGGAAGCCCTGGGTATGTTCTTGTTTTGCCCACTAAGGGGCGCAAGCACCCACATGGGGGTATAATAATAATAATTGATACTCACCGTAAAGTGTCTAAACAAGCTGACGATATTTACCTCAAAATGTCAATTACTGTAGCGCTAAAACAAACGATCACGGCATGAAGAATCATCTGTGTCAGAGTTGATTGCAAGTACAAGACACAGAAGCTTGTGGATAGACACGACTACCAACACCACACTGCATGGACTTTGAGAACAAGTGAACAAAATGTCCTACTGCCTACCGACAGAGAGAAAACTCTGATAATCATTATAGTTTAAATCATCATCATCATAATCATCATCATAATCATCATCATCATCATTCCAATAACAATGACAAATTATTATATGAAAATTTCGAAATGATATGATATGAATAAATTCGTGTTTCCCAATGTGCTGAAAATATTTTGAGCCCTCGGAGATGTGACGTCATAGAAGAATCCGTAGAATTCTTTGGACAGCTCTGAAGAAGAACGCAGATGTTTTGAAAGGGGCGAGTGCTCGAGGACAACTTATCACAAACATCAGAAAGAGACAGTCATCATATTTTTTTGGGTCATGTTATGAGAAGAAGAAAAATGGAACATGTTGTGACCACTGAAAACATTTGTGGAAAGAAAGACAAAGGAAGACAGCGTGAGAAGATTATCGACAGTCTTTTGTCATGGGGTGTCAGCATACGCATTGATACATGCGGTTGGAGATCGCAGATTGTGGAGAGGCATGATCGTCCACGCCAGTCGGCAAGACACTTGATGATGATTCCCACGTGTGGAATCAATAATGGGAAATGGATATTAAAAATAATAAAGGATTAACTTATTTGCTTTGTTTGTGTAACTGTTACTGTGGTAATCACTTGACGATGTACAGCGACATAGGCCATGCAATAAAATGCTATTGTTTGTGTCTTTGTTCAAATTCCCTACGCCATGAAAACACCACTTGCTTTTTGCATTCATATTATAATATCTCTATCAGTTGCCCCAACTTTGTCTACATTATTGTCTAAATAGGCGTGTGACTCTACATCTCGAGTTAGATATTATTAAGATAAATAGATTCCGGTTAACTGGTTTATTCTCATTATTTCTGTCTTCCCTTTAAGGGTTTTTAGGTCTAATTGTTTTGATCTTTGCTTCATTGATGGGAGGGAAACACAAAAGAATGAGAAGAAGGAAAAACAGAAGGAATGAGAGAAGATTAACACATTAATTTGTAGTTTATCTATGTAGTGTTCATGCTATCTAACAGTGTTATGTTGCATGTAGAGGACTTCTGTTGCAGCCTGTACGATGTCGGTGGCCAGAGAGGGGAGAGGAAGAAGTGGATCCAGGTGTTTGACAGTGTGGTGGCAATCCTGTACCTGGGCGATACATCCAGCTTTGACCAAACTCTTCGAGAAGACCCCCGCAGAAATCGACTTATCGAGTCCCTGGAGATCTTTCAGCAAGTGTGGAACAACAGGTCAGCTTTCCCCTAGTTGTGTCCCATTCTTTATTTTATCAGTTATCCCCCTTTTGTTAATTGTTTTTCGTCACAGACATATTTTCCTATTTATTTGTTCTTTCATTTTCCTGTACAAATATTTACATAGAAGTTCGAATAAAGGTTTATATGAAAGAAAGTTAACTGAAAATTCACATGCAGTTTTACAAATATGTTTACACGAAGCTTTGCTCGATATTGATGTCAACATATCACATACTCTACACTCACTCTTATCTTTTCCAACTCACACACTCCACTCCGTTAACCCACTTCATAAATTGTTAGACCTAATATATGTGAAGACCTACACTTAAAGAATCTCTTATAGGCTTTCCCTACATTTTACTTGGGGTTTTTCTGCATAGCTTTTAATCAAATTTAGAGTGGAAGAGAAAGTAAGGTCTTCTTCTTCTTCTTCTTTTAAATCTTCTTTTTCATGTTCTCCTTTACTTACTCTTATAAGTGTGATTGATATACTGTGTTGGTTTACAGCTACTTGTAGATCCTATCTGCACTTTTGGCCTAATACATTCGATTTCAGCTAACCCTTAAATCTTTCTGTCCCAAGTTGAAAACCATGTGTGACTGGATATTTTCACAGGTTTCAATCGTTGTGGTATATATAATTTTACATCTAATGTTTAGTCATTGACTATGAAGATCTCCAACCATTTAGTTGCTTCCTACAAAAGGTTGTGCATTTAATCCCCTTGAATGTAGTATATCTATGAGTTTGTTATTTTCATCATTGCCTCCCTCGGACATCAGCTAGTACCTTTAACATTGTTTGTTGTTTTAGTATCCAGAAGCTATGACCCTTAGGCTCGGTATTATAGATATCGCAACCTTTCGGCCTTGATTCCATTGTAAATACCGTAAATCTGGGAGAAAATGTGGTTTTCCTGCCTACCCCTGGGATTGAACCCGGACCACAAGGAGTTCGTCACCCGGTCTCCGCGCAATCCGGTTTAGCCAACTACGCTAGAGAGCCGGGCACCTTTACCATTTGCAACATGCTTGTTAGGTCAGAGTGCGTCCATAGTGTGTTCTCCCAAACTGGAAAAGTCTTGAAATAGCTTTTATTAATTGCCATCCTTCCTTCATCTAGGTTTTTAAGACCAGTGTCCATCTTGTTGTTTCTGAACAAGATCGATATTCTGGCAGACAAGATCGCCAGGGGCAGATCAATCACGGACTTTCTGGCCCAGTATCCGAACAGATTCCCAGAGTACAGTACCTTTAGTCCCACAGGTGAGTCATACAGGAAATCTTCTACCTGGGATAAATTCTCATGCTGTAGTCAAAAGTGTTTGCTAAAACATAAATGTCAGCTTTATAGAACTAATAACAAAAAGTGTTGCGGTGATAAGTCTTCATCAGCAAAACCGTGACGAGAAACAGCACAATGTTAGGAGAAGGAGGGAAACATGTAACCACTCGAAAGATGTGTGGAAAGAGGGGTAGAAAAAGGCAACGCAAAAAGATTCATAATGGCCTTTCTCATGGTATAGAGGGGTGTTAGCACACAAACTGATACATGCTGTTGACGACCGCAGATTGTTGAGAGGCATGATCGTCTACGCCAGTAGGTCGACCGAAGGTCGTGGGTTCAGATCCTGATGGTGCCGGGTTTTTTTTTTTTTTTTCAAATGACCTTGGCTCCCAGTTTGACCAAGCCTTAAAAAGGGGCCAGCGTGTAAAAGGGTCCTTTACTTTAGACACAACAGACTCTGCAGCCTTTTGTACAGGAATTTCAAGACTGGGGATTTGGACATGTGTCCTTGTGGACAAACACCTCAGAATACTGTACATGTGCTATACACAGGCTGCCTGCATGCGATAGAGATGTTTACCTCTGTTCATTGGCCAAACTTTCCTGATGTTCAAATCTTTTAGGATTTCAGTTTTTTTTCATTTCTTCTTTGTCCGTTGTATTCTGAGAATCTTTCTATCAGATTTCACCTTGAAAGTTCCTCTTTTCTTCCTCAATGACTGTGAGATCGTCCACGACTGACATCTGTATGTTGCTACAGGGCTGATGCATGCTCTGAAAACCCCCCCCCCCCCCCCCCAACCACCTTCTTTTTATTTCCTTTTTTTCCCCTTTGTGGTGCAAAGCTATTAAGTTTTAGTGCTGTTTAATTGATTATATTTATAATAAAATAATGTCTGAGTTACATTGATTTTGCAATTGTGTGAATTATTCAGTTGTTTTTGTTGTGAACTTTCCAGCAAATGAAAAATCTGAATTTTTGGAAGCATTTCCTTGTGGACACAATGCAGCATCAAAGAAACGGGGACGGTTAAGTTCAAGGCCAGATATCAATCCAGAGGTCACCAAAACTGCCGTTTACATCAAACATTTATATATGGTAAGATCATCATCATCATGTTTATATATGGTAAGATCATCATCATCATGTTTATATATGGTAAGATCATCATCATCATGTATCACCTGGGCACCATTAGGAAAACTTGCACATTATAAGAACGCACCCGACTCAACCCACCCATACGTGATTACAGATAAATTAGTACTTTATTGTTAATTCACCCCAAACAAAGGAAATCGGGGAGTTCCCGAAAGAGTGCAATATTCTAGGTATTATGGGTTAGGGTTAGTTGGTGTCCCTCAAGCGGTCAGGGCTGATAACCTAACTGATCCTAACCCTAACACCAACCCATAATACCACTACAATACTGGACTTTCCTGAAAACTCGGGGATTTCCTTTATTTAGGGTTAATTAAAACTATAATACCGGTTATCTGAACCATTTTTGAGTTTGATTCTCATCCTTTAGATGTTAATCCTACAGAATGCAAATCTGGAGGGGATTTAAAAGTTAGGTACGTATCTTTTACAGCACAACCACAAATATAACCGGAATTTGTCGGCAGCTTCGGCAACCAACAGTAGGTTTAATGTGGTCATGTTTTTGTTTTCTAATGGAACGAAACTTTACAGGACGTTGCAGAATACTCCGTATATATTTTTTTGTTTTTTGCTGTTATGAATTTTCAAGAAAGATTTTGCTTTCAGTAGTTTGTCATTGCTTTCTCGGCTATCAGCTCTTGGTACCACTGTCAAATCAAACGAAGACAAATCGTTCGCAGATGGGATCTAAACCAGCACCCCCGGCATTAGGAAGCGCATTTGCAACGCCTAAGCCACAGATGCCAACAGGAGATTGTACATACATATATAAATATTTTTTTAAGGTTGCAGGTCCAAAAATCAAGATGTATCTTATACATGGGATTATCTTATACTTGTTGCAATATGGTATTGGGTGTGGTGACCTGCAAGCGACCCTAGGTTGATTGGTGTTCGCACACACAAATACACTCTCCCACACTGTTTCCCACACAACACATTCCCAACTACTGCCCCATTTTTCATCAGTGACCCTCAGCAAATACCTCACTCATTACCATAAAGCTTGTCCTTTACAGAAAAACTGTGGCTTAGGAGTTTGTACCGCGATCAAAACTGCGTGGATTTTCATCATAGTGTGGGGCGTCGCAGGTCGATCCAGTCTAAAATGAGTACCAGGATCGATGTCATGGGGAAGTAAAGACGGTCTGCGTAATGCTGACCACATTACCAACCTAGTGCCGATTGGTCTATAAAAATATTGGAGGCTTATCCCATATGCCTGATGCGCCTAAGGCGTGAAAAGGGATCTTTCCTTTACTTACAGAAAGTCGCTGTTGTCACAGCGTACCTTAAAAAAGTCCGTTTATCGCCAGCTGTCCTGGCTCGTATACTTTCCTACTTAAGGAGTCTCTTATATCCTGTGAGCAAATTCGAGTTTGTCAGTTCCTGTCACTCTTGTCTTGTACCATGTCCTTCGCCGGGTTCTTTATTAAAATCCTCCCCCAAATGAGGTCACAGGATAGTCCAAGATTTTAGAAGGTGGTAAGACTGGGATTCCTGGCTTTCAGATGCTTTTAACGTCCTAAAAATGTCTAGAACTGGCTCTAACCCCAACCCAACAATTTCCCACGAAAGAGTGCAGCCTAGGTCCCGCGGATGCATGCATCCTAGGTCCCACGACTGCATGCAGCATATGTACCACCCTCTGAAATATTAGATTGTCCCGTGACCTGTGGATTTTCCCTGTTTGGGATAGGATATTATTAAAGCACTCTTCGCTGTTGTCTACCGATGTTTGATATGGTCAAAGTATTTCAGTTTCCAAGATGCTGTTTATGAGCCAGATTTGTTTTGATACGGGTCTTTTCTTCTTTTTTCATCTCACTGAGACCAGTTTCTAGCCCTGTGACGTCGTTTTCTGTATTTTTCTTGTACTTCTCGGGTGGCTTGTGTGATGAATTTGTTCATTCCTTTGCAGGTTCAGGCTGCACCATTTATCCATATCTTGTTTGGTCTTCCCCTCGCCTCCTCCCAAATGTTCTGCAGTAAATATTTAGTTTGGTCTGGCTGCATTCTTGCTAAATGGCTGAACCATTTCGTCATTTGTTTGTCAATATAATTTAGATATGGTCTTATTGCAACTTTCTTTCTAATTCTGGTCTTTATAACCCTGTTCCCTCTTGTGTTGTTAATGACCTTAGGGAGATTGCGCATAATTTAGGATATCTTTATTTCTTGGCTTCTGTGTCCATCTTGGTGTACCTTTCTGTGACATTTCAGCTCTATAGCCCCTCCTTTCTTCCCTAATGACTATGAAGATAATCCACGACTGACATCGTTGAGTTGCTCCAGGAAAGTTGTATGCGCTAAAAATTGTAACTTTGATTTACTTTCCGATGCTCAGCCAAAGATGTTTGATGTTAAAACGTCTCTCTGCTCACAGAAAATCGTCACGGGAGAGCTGTCCGTGGGCTCTGGTGTCCAGGGCCATGATCGCACCTGGCATCAGAATCACTCATGCGAGTATTTCTATACCTGCGCTGTGGACACTAACAACGTCAAGATTGTCCTAGAGGGCTGTCGGACATTGATCATTCGTAAACACCTGGAGCGTTTTGGGATTATCTGACACTTGGTTGTGAAAGTGAGCTGTCATGTGTCATCGACGTTGTCATTGTCTTTGTCGATGTCATCATCATCATCATCACACCATCACCATCATCATCATATTCATCATCATCATGTGCCGTCTCAAAGGATCACCGCAATCACAGATCAGGTCAATGTTCCTGTCTCCCCCCCCCCACCCCACCCATGAGAGTCAGTTATCCTGATGGTTATCTCTGTGCCCTCCTCTTGTTATTGTTTGATTAATATTTACATTTGTGACCAAGTTATCGAGTCCATTCCTTTCCTATCATGTCCAAAGACACTGTCTGTCTATGTGTACTTGTTCAAATAAGTTTATCACTTCCATCTGTCTTGTTGTACACCGCATCATTTGCTTTTCTATCACTCCATGTTAGACTTTGAATTCTTCTCAAAAACCACATCTCTGCAGCCAGTAAATGTTTTTCAGCTTGTCTGTTTATTGTCCATGTCTTACATGCATAAAACAACACGGTTTCTACATAGCACTTCATCTATTTTCCCCCCTCTCACTTAAATCAACATCTTCTTAGCGATTGTTTACAATTTGTTTTTCTCCTGCTCTTATTGGTTGACTTTGAAACTTTTCTCACAGAGGGGAGAACTTCGCTTTTTTTCAGTCTACAGTATGTTTGCTTATAGGCCTATACTTTCTTCATAGATGAAAACTTATTTGTCTTCTTCCCGTCTTTGCCTTTTTTGTTTTCAACTGTACACTTCCCTGTTAAGTGAAATTAATACTTCACTTGTTACGTCTGTGTCTGTTTACTTATACATTTTTCCATATAGTTAAATAACACTGTCTTCTTTCTGGTTTTTGACTTTTAATTTCTTCGCTTTCCCATACAGGAAATTATTTAGTAGAAAGTGTTGAAACATTTAGAATTTATCTAGCCTCTAGTGCAATTTCAATGTTTTTAGTCGCGAGTAGTGATATCGAAGGCCCGTGTGTATTGTTGCACACGCAACAAAAAAATTACCTGGCAGTTGGAAATCGAAAAGAGTTGCCTAATGGCGCTGTGTGTGCAAAATACTACCCGTATGCCATGTTGTTGATATGTTGTTCAAACCTCAAACTTCAAACCTCAGTCGAACTATGTCCATATTTCATAGTTTTGAATTCTGGCTGTATGTTAGACATCTTATTTTTAAAGTTGCCTTAGTGGTCATGCATCTTAGTACACTTGTTCTCACAGTTAGGCGCTGGCTTCATTTGGGGGTGACAGGTTCAGTTCCTGTCTTAGTCACTATAATGAACTCGCCTACAGTCAGACAAAAAAAAACTTAACAAGAGACGAGGACACGGGTGACTCAGGACTGGACAGATGAATGAGGAAAAGCCCAAGGTTGGCTCTTGGTCATTTGGGTACCAGAGTTCAAGGAAGACGGTTTTGATGCAGTTTAACTGCAGTGTATTAAAGGGTGTGTTAGTGATTATAGAATTGTTTTGGAAGCTAGCAGCAATGGCCATGACTGACTAAACTGACCGATCAAGTGGAAGAATTCGGAGAACAAGAAGAATCCAGAGGAATAAATTGGCAGAAATTACATGGGAACATAAATGCCATTCTGCGTTGTTAGTTGTAGACAGTTGCCTGTGTTCCCAAGTTGGTAGCTGTGCATGTGTTCCCAAGTTGATAGCTGTGCATGTGTACACAAGTTCACATGAAGTTGATGCTAGCTGTAATTGAGAGCCCTAGACCGAAAGCCAGGATAGATACTTAACAATACCGAAGGAAGCAAGCATTTTTTTAGTAACTATAGTTTTTGATTTTTATGTTGTTTTTGTTTGCCCTTCCTATCTTTCTCCTTTTTTTTCTGAGTCTTGATCAGCACATATGAAATAGTTAATGATATATACTATTATTAGATGGTGGCATACCGAGATATTATGTCTGCAGTTAGTTTGAACTCTTGTGTCCTTGTTTCTCATCTACAGTCGACTGCAAATTGGAACTGACCTCAATTAAAGCTTGGGAACTGAACAAGTCTAAAAGCTTCATGGAGATCAAATGTCAGATGGAACCTTTAAATAAAGTTCATGACTTGTGTGGACCCTCTGCAAACTATGACCGTTCTGATTAAGTTCATGATCAATGGGAAATGACTGCTGACCTTCACGAAAAGTTCACGGTCAGTGCAAACCCTCCACGAACTATGACCTTCGGTAAAAGTTCAAGATCGTGGAACTGCAAAATGTGACCTTCAGATAGAGTTCATGGTCAGCGTGACGCTCTCTGTTAACTGCTTCTGATTTAAGATGCTATCATCCGATGACCCATGACTACATTCACTCGCTCCAGTTCAGTCTGTCAGTCAGAGTATGTGATCGCAGACTGTTAGTCAGAGTATGTGATCGCAGACTGTCAGTCAGAGTATGTGATCGCAGACTGTCAGTCAGAGTATGTGATCGCAGACTGTTAGTCAGAGTATGTGATCGCAGACTGTCAGTCAGAGTATGTGATCGCAGACTGTCAGTCAGAGTATGTGATCGCAGACTGTCAACTTGGGATGCATAGAAAGAAACCATTATATTTACACTATGACCTTGGCGCAACAGACTCCGCAGCCATATGTATCAACAAATGTCAAGACTGGGGATTTGGAACCTTGCCCACGGGGACAGGCCCCACAGAATATGAAATACGAGCTGCAGGCAGGCTCTCCACATGCAGTTGAAGATTCCCAGGTTTGGCCAATAGGCATTCCATTGGAAACCAAGCTTTGTGGAACAGTGGACGACGTGCTTCATACCACAGCCTTCACAACTGCTGGGGAGAATATAAAGAAGAAGAAAAGAAGAAGAAGAAGAAGAAGAAGAAGAAGAAGAAGAAGAAGAAGAAGAAGAAAAAAAAAGAAGAAGAAGAAGAAAGAAGAAGATGAAGAAGATGATGATGAAGAAGAAGAAGAAGAAAGAGAAGAAGAAGTGAAGAAGAGAAGAAGAAGAAGAAGAAAAAGGAGAAGAAGAAGAAGAAGAAGAAGAGAAGAATGATGATGATGGTGATGGTGATGATTAAAAAAAAAAGAAGAATGATGTTGATGGTGATGATGATGATGAAGAAGAAGAAGAGAAGAATAATGATGATGATGATGATGATGATGAAGAAGAGAAGAATAATGATGATGATGATGATGAAGAGAAGAATAATGATGATGATGACAAGGATGAAGAAGAATAGAAGAATAATGATGATGATGATGATGGTGGTGAAGAAAAAGAATAGAAGAATAATGATGATGATGATGGTGATAAAGAAGAATAGAAGAATAATGATGATGATGATGGTGATGAAGAAGAAGAATAGAAGAATAATGATGACGATGATGATGGTGATGAAGAAGAAGAATAGAAGAACAATGATGATGGTGATGATGATGATGAGCCAGCTAGGCCATTTGTTCTAGTCCTAATGTCAGTGATTCTCAAATTGTTTGACGTGACACATTAGTGTTATGAAAGTGACTTGAAAACACTGAGTAAATATTCAGACAATCACAGATTTGACTTGTAAATAAAACACAATCAGTCATGGATTTATGTCTCTGAATGTCTAGGGTTTGTCTGTTATAATGTAGATATGTTGTGGCTCTGTGGCCTAGAGGTTAGTTACAATGCAGTCCTCGACATTAATCAGGGTTTGATCCTGCAGTGGACGGTTCAGAAAAAGATCATTTTCATGGCTTTCATGTAGTGGTATGAGAGTTGCACCATGGAAGATATTAGGGACTTCATCATGCTATATTCCCATAGTTAGCAGTGGATACATTTCAGCCAGGAACTATTTTATAACAAAAAAGAGATAAAAGTTGCTGGTACTCACCACAAAGGGAGCAGAAATGGTGTAGTGGTTAAACGCTTGCTTTTGAATCTGAAGGGTGTGGGTTAGGGTCCTAGCAGAGCCGGACGTTTTTCATCAATGACCTTGGCTCCTAGGTCGATACAGCCTTTAGTGGGTACCAGGTATAGTCCTGGGAAGTAAAGGTGACCAGCGTGATGCTGACCTTATCACCTGCCCAGTGTCGGTTGGTCTATAAAATATAGGTCTAACCCTATATGCCCGGTACACCTAACGGCATGAAAAAATGTCTTTTTTTTTCACAACAAAGTGTCTCAATAAGGTGCCAGTACTCACTACAATGTGTCTCAATAAGGTGCCGGTACTCACTACAAAGTGTCTCAATAAGGTGATGGTACTCACTACAATGTTTCTCAATGAGGTAACGGTACTCACTACAATGTGTCTCAATAAGGTGCCGGTACTCACTACAATGTATCTCAATAAGGTGACAGTACTCACTACAATGTGTCTCAATAAGATGCTGGTTTCACTACAAAGTGTCTAAATACAATGATGGTACTCACTACAATGTGTCTCAATAAGGTGCCGGTACTCACTACAAAGTGTCTCAGTAAGGTGACGGTACTCACTACAAAGTGTCTCAATAAGGTGCCAGTACTCACTACAATGTGTCTTAACAAGGTGCCAGTACTCACTACAATGTGTCTCAATAAGTGCCAGTACTCACTACAATGTGTCTCAATAAGGTGCCAGTACTCACTACAATGTGTCTCAATAAGGTGCCAGTACTCACTACAATGTGTCTCAATAAGGTGCCAGTACTCACTACAATGTGTCTCAATAAGGTGCCGGTACTCACTACAATGTGTCTAAATAAGATGCCGGTTCTCACTACAAAGTGTCTCATTAGGGTGACGGTACTCACTACAATGTGTCTCAATAAGGTGACGGTACTCACTACAATGTGTCTCAATAAGGTGACGGTACTCACTACAATGTGTCTCAATAAGGTGCCGGTTCTCACTACAAAGTGTCTCATTAGGGTGACGGTACTCACTACAATGTGTCTCAATAAGGTGACGGTACTCACTACAATGTGTCTCAATAAGGTGACGGTACTCACTACAATGTTTCTCAATAAGGTGACGGTACTCACTACAAAGTGTCTCAATAAGGTGCC